TTTTATATTATACTCGTGGTATTATGTGAAGCTTATTATTTTTTTAAAAAATGCAATAATGTATGTACAAGCTTATAAAAAGAATACTTATATACTGTTAATGAGTAGATTTGGAAACTGAATGACTGGGAGTAAAAACTTCATAATCTACTACAAAAAAATGATAGTCTCCCATAAGTACAGTATTAGAGGCATGTTCGCCATCGTAGCTGTGAGGAAGATTACTGTAGCTCTCCTTATTTACGTTACAATTACTAGAAATTAGTAAATCAGCACCTGCTCCAAAAATTGGTCCGATACTGTAATATTAATAGATTTAATTAGATATTAATAGACTTAGTTATTAGAATTTTTTCATATAAGCAGATAAAATAATAAATATTTACTCTGGATGATAACAAAGCGCAAAAGGCTTTTTAACAATATCATATTTCGTTGGAGGTACATCTTGGTTATTTGTTAAAGTGAATAAGAAAGCTTTTTCTGAAAAAATATAATGACCCTTGGCATTTGTTTTACCCCATGGCGCATCACTGAAGCCTCCACAAATTTCTCCTCGAGTTCCCTATATAAAACATTATATAATAAACTTTATTTTATTTACACTAAAAAGCATAAGTTTCTTACCAATGCAATTACATATGTTGGACAAACTCCATCACAATGTCGGTGAAATGATGATGCAGAATAATCATGATTAGAAGCTCTGAAATATTTATAATTGGCATATTTATTATTATAATATGTTTAACATTACATCCTGTTAATCCTTATTAAACATACCGATATACTAGACGCCAACTTTGTTTTGGAGATCCATACCACTGATTGAGAAGACGTTGGAAACCCATCTTATCTCGCGATAGAATTTGTGACCCCGGAAACAGAAATGGACTAACTCTTGGCTGTAACCGCTTATCTGCACAAATTTCTGCATATTTGTTTGGTAGCGCTGCATACCTATACCTAAGACAAAACGTAAAAATCGAAAGCCTCCGAGAATAAAAAGCTTCCGGGCAAACCATACCTTATGGGTTTTGAGCCACTTGATCGATCGGGATTGAAAAATTCGTACCTCTCCAAGGAAAGCTCTATAGGCACTGCTCCGGTTGGTTCTACTTCCTCCGCAAAGACCTGGCTGTCGATTAGTAGAAGGCGAACATGATTTATCACTCCGGATAAATGTTGGCAAACCCTCACGCGCTCCTCCTCTGTCCAGTGTTGAGTAGGCTGCGTCACCCCTGCCTAGGAGCGTGGTCCGTACGGTTAAGCGTTCCTTAACTCGTAATTCTAAATTCCGATCCAAGAACCTAAGGACCCAAGGACCCGGTAATAATCGTATGCGACATAAGGTCTAAGACCTTGCACGACATACGCATGATCAGAGCGTTAAGTCTTCTTGGAATTTTCAACGGATTCAAAGTACTCGGAAACGGAATAGAATTTTCAAAGAAAAAGAACCTGATATTTTGCCCAGTTTAGTACTGCTCTCCAAACATCTTCTTCCTCCAATCCTAAGTAATCCGAAGATATAAGCTTCACCAACGCATCCTTTGGAAGATTACAAAATGCTGTTGTTTTAACTGTATCTACAGCATTTTCTCCAATGAAAGCGAAACATCTTTCAATGAAGGAAGAACAAGCTCCTTTGCCACCTGTGATAATAAAAAATATTCTATTAATAACATATTTAATATTAATCAATATTAAATTTTAGAATATAATGGCCTAAATAATAATATACTTAACTTTTATAATATTTAAAATATTATCTATTAATTTCACATATTTATTTACATCAGGACTTTACAAATATAAATAAAACATTAAATTTGATTCAAAAATATTTATTAAATGTCTATCTAGATCATTATCTATTACAGCAATTGCTCAATCACAATATTTACACCTGGAATTTGTTTGAATACTAAATTGGGTACAATTTTAAATATATGGAATACACATTACACAGTTTTTCATTTAATAAAAATAATTGAAGATTAAAAGATTGAAACATATTCTAAATTCCATGGAAATTAGTATTATAAGATTGTAATAACAAATACGTTTCTCAATAAAAAAAAATTATAATTTGTACATGTCAATTTACCATTGTTCATTCTAATTACATTGAATTATGTATCACAAATATGGGAACTTGAAAGATATTAACTTTGTCCTTATTAAATGTTTTTAAGTCACTTTTAACATGTAGTTTACATGCTCAATAGCACAAAGTATAAAACAATGCGCTTTTTTGTTCATCTTCCAAGGTTATGAGTAACTTAATTCGCTCCTGGATTCGTATTTTGTATTAACGTTATATTGTCGCCTTTTAACATGATTCGTCCGAGTGGTTTTCTGTTCTTTGTCTTCAAATGATATTCCTCCGCATCGTCCAGTACTAAATTCATATATTCGTCAAATCCAACGATGTGACCCTCGATTCGTAGGTTGATGTTCTCGAATAACCAAACTTGCACGCGCGAACGGTTTTGCAAGTATCGAAATATAAGATTGATGGGTTGTACCATCACTTTTTGAACTTTTTGAGGTCCTTTGTACGACATTTTTGTGATAATTTCAAAAATTAACAAGCAACGTTTAATACACCCGTGCTTTGTAATAGCCAAACGCCGAAAAATATGGCGTCGTCATTGTACCAACTGTGTTTCATTCGGGATTTTTCCCTATTATTTTCCTTCTTAAAATATTTTAAATGTCTAAAATTATTTCAACCAAGAATTAATTCAAATAAATATTACACGTATTAAATAGAAAATATTTATAAATTTATTATTTATAACATTTAGTATTTTTAGTAAAGTTTAATAAGAATAAAATGTTGGTACTATTGATTTTATAAATATCCTATATAGTGCTGCCTCGGTGACAAATATGTGAATTACAAATGACGAATTTTTATCGACGAAACTCAGTCGGTAAGTATGGTAAACTGCAATTCTTTTCTATACAAAATATTCTTACCTAATGAGTAAAATATCATAAATTTTAAATATCTTTTTTTTTAAATAAAGTATCTTGTATAAAAAAATTAATTTTTTCATATTTTCAATTATTAAGAATTTCGTTTATATTTCAATTGTATATTCTGCATTTTTGATTTACAGAAACCTATTTACCTACCAATTATATATATCATTAATATATTTTATAATATATATTTTAATAATTAATATATTATTTTTTATGGCGCATCATTCAACAACTTCCAAAATAAAAATTGTTTAATACAAAGAAACGTTTAATAATATATCATGAATAACTTACTAGGAACTCGTTCTTGGGCATCTAACGCCGCAGTCAGAAGGGCACACGCGTTTCCTGGGCTTAGAGTGGCGGAGACGTGTTCCTCGCAACTTCTCCAAAGTTCTTCGACTCCCAATTCTTGTGCGAGACCCAGCATTTCGAATATACCATTATCCTGTAGCATGATCTACGAAACAATTACAGAGTTAAATCTCGCCTACGTTTAAAAAAAACATGAAACTTTTATCAATACTTTCCTCCATGTTCCATACATCGTTGCAAATTCATCTGTTCAAGATATTATTTACCTTGCCTGTGTACACGTAATGAATAAATTGTCGAAAAGTCTCTGGATGAGCGTGCGGCATACGCATTGGGGTTGGATTTCCCGGTGTCCCGATCCTCTTCGCGGCTGTAAAGTTCTTGCACCTAGGGAAATCGAAGCAGCGTATCGATTTCAAACAATAATTACCATGGGTTAGAGGAGAAAGGGAGACAATGAAGGAAGAGCATTGCTTTGAATCGGGCGGGTGTACTATGGGTGCGTGACCCTTCTAACGAACACCCACCACTTCACCTTTCGTCACCTTCGCCACTACTTCTAGCAGTGTTTCGTGTTACAAAAGGGCTTAATTGACTTCGTCAGGAAGCTCCGTAGCCACGAGAGTATTCGCAACGTATGCAGCCAGGCTTTAGTTTTCGTTCCTCTAGAAATTAATGGCAACCTTCGAAAAGTCACTTCTCACCCTCTTTTTCCCCTGCGGCAAGCCCTCCCCCGTAAGGGAGAAACTCGGAAGAACAAATCTTTCCTAGTATTTCGTGCTGAAAGCGGAGATTCCCTATGACCCATTGGGAGAACATTCGATCTCAGCTTTTCTAACGTGCACCCTCTCCTACAATACGCACAATGCGACTAGATACAACAAAAGGGAGGTTTTTAATATCGACAAGTTTAAATACGAACGATGCATTTCTCTTTTTTTTTTTTTTTTTATTTCGGAATCCTTGATGTATTTTATATATCTGCATAAAAATTAGTGCACCTACGTTAAGTAGTACTAATTTACTTTCGACAACATTGTCTCTCGTCTATTTCCTCGATAACATTATTTTTTTTTCAAATTATCGAATTCAAATTTATCTCAAAGGAAAAGAGCACTTTAAACTTTTACAACACGAAACGAAATTCCAATTTCGTAATCAAGCAAAGCCAGGAAAAATTGAATTGGAAAATTGAAACACAAACGGTAGAGGAGCGGGATTTAAGACACGAAAGGCAGATAAACTCTTAAACGAGCCCTTTGGATCCAGTGAAGACACTGAAACGACCCCCGAGTTTCTAATACCACTAAGCCGAGGCAAGGTAAAAAGATTTCGTGTGCTAGAAACGAAGAGGTCGCGGTGCACAAGAGTTGCGGGAGGTAAAGCGTGTGGTACGAACGGCGTCCGTATCGAATCAAAAGAAAATCCGTCAAAGAGAGCGGGTGCAAATGGAAAAGGCATGCTCGCCGGGCGCTTTGATATTATAACCGACGCGTTAACAAACGCTCGGGTTCGTCGACAGGAGAACGCGAAAGTTGGAAAATCGCAGGGCCTACCTACGAAACATGGTTGCTGTGGAGGGGAGAGGCTCGACAGAGGAAAACTAGTGCTCAAAAAAATTAAAAACACGAGCCCCGTGCACAGGAAGCGGGAAGTATATGTATACACGCACGGATGTGTAACCCTTGCTGCGGGTCGACTTTTAACGGACCGAAAAAAAACTCAACCTTTATGCTTTCACCTGCCAGTTCGAGAGCGATGCGGGCTCGCGTGCATATCAAAGCACGTTAAAGTTATAGTGTATTTATTTTGTGCAAATTAGAGGGAAATATTCGAATATCGAGAATATATCCTCTTTTTTTTTTTCCTATCATTTTCTTCTATATTTAATAGCACGGTTGCACGCGCGATATAATTTATCGTTAGAATAAACGGTTTTTGAATCTCGCGTCCATGAAATTCCGCAAGAAAAATTCGCATGTCGATCGTGCCTCGTCAAGATTCTTTACTCTATCCGAGGGAACGTGACCAGCAATTCTGACTAGAACCATGGCAATATCGGTAAGAAACCGCTCCACTGCCAAAGAAATGAAAAAAGTGTTAAGAAGGAAAAATAAAGGCGGGTTGCGGTTGGATGTTGGGTAGTGATGGATGATGCGCGGAACGAGGCGAAGGAGGAAGGAAAGCGTGGAAGAAGAAGACGAAGGGGTGAAGGGTAGGAAAGGGGTGAAAAACGAGAAGTCGGTTCCCGGTGAGGAGAGAAGCTTTTCCCTAATCACAGGCGAACGCCGCAGCGGAATCAAAGAAAACCAAATATCAGCGAGTGACGGCGAGAAAAGAATAGGGCACCGCGTGCGCGCGTCTGGTGTGACGACGAGGTGTCACGGGGGTGGTAACGTAGGTTCACGAGGCTCGACGTGGAAAGAGGATGTTAGGGGGTAAGGGGCCTGGTGGTGGGAAACGAGGGTCGTGGCTGCTTGGTTTCACGGCGGCAAGGGGTTGAATGTCGCCGCGGGCTCCGCTACTAACGACCAAGCGTGCGATTATATAGCGGCTCCGTCGATCTCCGCGCAAAAACCGCCTCCGCTTCCGGTGCACGAGAGTCAAATTCGCGCCACACCTCCTCGTTTCCTGTGAAACGACTGACGAGTCTCACCGCTTCGGTCCATTATCAGATATCACCGTATGCCTCGACTCGACAGATCCAAATTGTGTAGCATTGTCGTCCAATGCATAATTACTGGCGAAAGCAGCTCGATAACGAACGTTCTTTTTTTTTCAATTGAAAATCCATCTTCTTCCATTGATGGGCATTGTTCGAAATTCGAGGATGGCGCGATGGAAAATTGCGCGGGCAAATTTGAGCTGAAAATTTAGGTCTCGTTGATTGCATCGGTAATCCATTGGTAGTAATTTCTCTCTAGAAATCTTCTTTTTGCAATTTTCTTTAATTTCTCGGAAAGCAGATAATTTCTTTTCGTTACATTCGATATTGTATTTATTTTTCGAATCTAAGAGAACCTAAAACGCTGTTGAATAAGAGTTAATTACTCAAAATTACGATCGAATTATATTTGCTTGAATACCGCAGAATATTTCTGATAAAGCTAATCCTTTTAAAACCGCTCTCTTATAAAAATCAAAATATACGACTTTCTTTTCTATGATTTTCACACATAAACTAATGTTTTCTTTTTTTTTTTT